TTAAGGATTATAGGCATGATTCAATGTTTTTCAAAGTAAACATTGATTGATTTAAGGATTATAGGCCTGATTCAAAGCTCAAAGCTCAAAGTTTAAAGTTCCATCGATTTTTCAGAGTAAACATCAAATTTCATTTGATAGAATCAGAGTAAAATTTTACTCTGGTTCTATCAAATGAAATTTGATGTTTACTCTGAAAAATCGATGGAACTTTGAGTTTTGAGTTTTGAATCAGGCCTATAATCCTTGAATCAATCGATGTTTACTTTGAAAAACATTGAATCATGCCTATAATCCTTGAATCAGGCCTATAATCTGAAAATTTTAGAGAAATCTCAAATTTTCATACCCCGGTTCTTCAGATTTTTCAGATTTTACAAAATTTTCAGATTTTTAAAATTTTGAGCTTTCAAAAATCTATATATTCGAATTTAAATATCAAAACACACAAACACACACACACACACATATATATATATATATATATATTACAGATCGGAATATGTAGATATATATATATTCGAATTCAAATCTCAAAACACATATATATTCGAATTCAAATATCAAAACGTACAAACACACACACACACACACACACACACATATATATATATATGTATCAACGCGATTTGCAAGTTCTCCACAGCTCCGGCCATGGAGGAAGCTAGGATTAGAAGAGAGAGACGAGATAGAAGATGAACAGTTGAAGGAGAGTTGAAGGAGGAGAGTTGAGAAGATGCAGAGAGAGATCGTCGGAGCTTAGGAATGACACAGCTCTGGCCATGGAGGAAGCTAGGGTTAGAAGTGAGAGAAGATAAATTTTGTATCTGGATTGTGTATATGTGAGGGTATAATAGTCTGATAAAATATTTAAATAATAAATTTTGTCCTTTATGTAAGATTTTATAATTATGGGGGGGTTTAGAAAGTATAATTTTTTTCTTAGTCCTTCTAACAATAAAAGGAAGGTAAAAGGGGTTTATAGCCAAATTTCCTTTTTACTTACTCATGTGACATTATTATGTATTATTGAAGTGAGTCTTATTTCAATTTTTGTTTAGCATTTTTTGTGTGAATTATAGTTCATGGCTACTTCTGCTTAATGTTTTAGATTGAATGCTGATATCTCTCCACATTAAAAAATGTATGATCTATATATACCTATTTGAAAATTCGACTCAAGAATGAATTTAGGGGTGGCAAGCAGGGATGATCCCCATTTTATGATTTGAAAAATCTTTTTTACTACACTAGGTTTAGCTATTAATTACCTCCAAACTAAATAAGTTCACCCTACTAAATTTTTAACTAGACTTAAATATCAATTAAGTTTTTCTTGTGAGAACTTCAATTTGTGGCTACTTTCTCTTGATGTTTTTATGGACAGAATGCCACTATCTCTCCGATAAGAAATGTATGGTCTATGCATATCTGATACTTCTACTTTCTATCAATCAAATAGGACAAAAAGGCCTACTATCCACTTGTTTACTTACAAACCATTTATGTGGCAACAATGCTATAAAAACAAGTAAATCAATAACCAGTTATGTTTAGAATTTTCCTTTAGAAAAAATGCATTCCTACTTTTGTTTATAGTAGCTATAACAATAATATTATGTATATATAAAAATATTTTCAAAATTAAATTTATTTCGGATGTGTTTGTTGGTGAGAGAGAGAGAGAGCTACCTTGAAGTCATTATTGATAATCATCCCAATAGTGCAGACAACAGTAGCAAAGAAACACATCACCAGCTTATGTTTAGAATTTTCCTTTAGAAAAAATACATTCCTACTTTTGTTTATAGTAGCTATAACAATAATATTATGTATATATAAAAAATATTTCAAAATTAAATTTATTTCGGATGTGTTTGTTGGTGAGAGAGAGAGAGAGCTACCTTGAAGTCATTATTGATAATCATCCCAATAGTGCAGACAACAGTAGCAAAGAAACACATCACCAGCTGAAACTCTATCAACAGCGTGTAGCTAATGGCCTGTCTTGCCTTCTTGTATGTCCACTCCACCAATGGCAAGATGAACCCGTACAAAGCTGCGGCTGCAACTGTCATGAAGAACCCCACAAAATACTCTCTGTTAGACTCTCCCTTTGGATGGTCACTGCTCGTGTGAAGAGCCAAAATTCCAGCTCCAACGGTGAGCAAAAACACCGCGTTGATTGAGTACGAAGTGAACTTTTGCTTCACAAGAAGGTATGCAAAAAGTGCAGTGAAACCCAACTGGGAGGCAATGATCAGAGCCGCAGTGGATATGGGGAGGCGCGCAACCCCATAGGCATAGAGGTAGTCATCGGCACCAGTGAGGACACCGATGACACTGGC